ACCTTATAAAGCTTGGGGCTTTAGGGTTTTTGGGGGTTCAGGGTGTTAGGGGTTTAGGGGTTTTAGGGTCTTAGGGTTTAGGGTTTTAGGGTTTTTGGGGGTTTAAATGTCTTAGGGTTTAGGGATTTAGGGGGTTTTAGGGTCTTAGGGCTTTAGGGTTTAGGGCTTCAGGGTTTTAGGGGTTTTGGGGTCTTAGGGTTTAGGGTTTTAGGGTTTTAGGGATTTAGGGTTTAGGGTTTTAGGGTTTAGGATGTAGGGTTCAGCGTTTAAGGTGTTTTTTTTTCAGGGTTCAGCGCTTAGTTTGGGGGTTTAGGGGTTTACGGTTTAGGGTTCAGGTTTAAGGTGTATTTTTTAGGGTTCAGCGCTTAGTCTTTGGGGGGTTTTAGGGTTCATCAAGAGATGAGGTCTTAGGAGGGTTTTAGCGTTTAGGCTTTACCCAGAGAGAGGCTCGGAGTACCCAAATATTTGGTGTTTCGGCACCTATAATCTATAACCCTTCAAATTGGGCACTTGGACCCTTAGGGATACAGGCTTTAATCGAGTCACTACCGGGACCCCAAATCCTACGATTCGGGCATCCGGACCCATCGGTTTACGGTTTAGGGTTTGGGGTTTAGTTTACGGTCTATAGGCTTTAAGGGTTTAAAGCTTCATCCAGCAAGGCCAATGAGCTTGGGATAGGAAAACCAGTACACCTTAATTCAAGAGTAACGAACCGGCGCGTTCCCAAGCAGGCACCATGACGACACGATGCGGGAAATCTGCACTGGATAGACATGCTATTCCCTTGCGACCTATCCTTCGGGTAGTGGCGTGTGCAGTTCCCACAGGAGTATGCCATTGTAGTTCGCCGGCCTTCGACGAGTAGATGAATTTGTTGTACATTAGTGCATCCCGTCTTGCTTAGAGTCACGCTCCCTTATCATCAGGCTTGAGGGTTTAGGGATTTAGGGTTGGGGGGTGTGGGGATTAGGGGTTTAGGGATTTGGGGGTTTTGGGATTTACTCTCTCAACCCAGAGCCTTCCCAAGCCCTAAACCACCAGATTTGGCCCGAGGCTTAGACCTACCCGAAACCTCAAGCACTACAAAAAACTGCTTAAAGTCTCCATTGTAGTTCCTTGCGGGGGTTACTTTCTAGGATCCGAATTCCTTTTCGGCGTTACCTTCTAGGATCGTCTTTGGGGTTACTTTCTAGGATCCCTACTACATAACTGAGTTAAACCAGAAAAGGGAACTACAATGAATACTATAGGAAGGGTTTCTAATCCAATTTACAAACCTCCAATCCGAAGCCGCAGCAGACGTCTGCCGATGTCTCAAGTGGATTTGGTTAAGGGTTGAGTTTGGGTTTTGAGGGCTTGGGTGTTACGGCTGATGATTTAAATCCTTGCATTACCCATAATGAATAAGGAATATACCAA